CGACTCGTCGTTGCCTCCGTCACTGCAGTGTTTTACCTCACCATAGGAACATCAGGGTCGGAACGGTTCCACTGCTTCCGAAAAACGTCAGGCAGGTCCCTGGTGTGTAGGTAGTGTTTGACATACATGGAATCGGCAAAAAGTAATGCCTGCAGCGACATGGGCGTGACGCGGGACTGTTGAGGGTTCTGGTCGTGGTTCATTATACTGCTTATGTTCCTGATGTGGTGGGGTTGGTAATATCGGTGACAGGGCGATAATATAGTAAACTAAAAGATTGAAAATGTCAAATGATATTATAAAAATATTATATTTTGTTTGTATTTATTGATAATATCAACACCTTATTTCCATGTTTTAATCTCGAGCTTAATAACGCGATACCGGAAAATAGTAGTCATATCACACATTTTGTAAGTTACTTTAAATTCGTTTTACCTACGAACTTATATTCAAAATTAAATGGATGTTGTCGAAGACGAAATTTTTTATTTTCTTATACTTTTTTGTTTTCCTCAGCTTTTTTGAAAATTACTGGCAATTTAAATTTTGACATTTTGACCTCCCAAATACGCCAACTAGATTCACTTTCGACTTTTCCGCCAGAAAAGATTCTGAAGACGAAAATTGAAGCATTATTTTGACAACTTATAGTGTACTCCCAAAAATGTTATAATGAAAACAATAAATAAAAAAAAAAAAACACACAGCATAGTAAAATAAATAATAATACACTCATTGCTCCGCTCAGAATCTAAAATAAAATGTAATGTAAACATTTTAAAAAGATTTCTAGTTGACTGGGCAAGAAATAATTGAATCGCCTAATTGAAATTTACCTCAAAGTAGGTTAGGTATAATAATGATAATCTGATATCAATGATGTATTATTATTAATTTTAATATTATTAAAATTATATTACTATTAACTCCGCCTAAGCTATAATATTTTATTAAAAACAATATTCCTAACTTATATTCCTGATTTATATTCCTTTAACCATTTTTTAGCTTGAGTAGGAAATTAAAACTAAAATAAAACAACATTCTACGAGCACCTATTTTGTTATGTTTCGGATTTTAATTCGAAAGAAATTGTTATTTAGTTTCAGAATGCGACGATCGCTAGACTAATTCAAACGAAAGCTGAACTCGATATGTGAGTGGCCGATCTAACGACACAGTAGTCGAGTAGACATAAGCGTGGCGAAGCTAAACTTAAAAATAATAAGCTAAGCAACAAGACCGTGTATAATATGATATACCGGAAATCAAACGTTGCCATTTGACACGTTTAGTGCCTCCTAATATTATTATCCATATAAGTATATAACTATATAATATTATAGTAATAGTATTTATAATATACATCGATGTGAAAGACAACGATGTCGCCTGCAGCGTCATGAAACAACGTTATGATAACTGATACGACGGGGCCACCGTCGTTTATTACAAACATATCGTCATGATTTTGTATTATAATTTTTAACCTCGAAAAATTCAAAAAAGGCTATAAAAAAGTTTGTTGTTAGCAGAGTGTGTAGGCACTTGAAATACGATTGTATCTTGGGAAGTATAGTGTCAAACATTCTATAAAAAAAGATGCGAATGAATCGAAATCTGAGCCCTATGTATAAGAAATATAATCTGTGTGCCAACTAGTTAAAGAAATATGCGCAGATATTTTTTCTGACTAACGAGTGGTGGACTTTGCCGGCGGAATACCGGGAAATTTCCCTTTGGGCTGCTGCTTAAAAACAATTTGTTATTATATATTTATAATAAAATGTTAATAAATTACAAATATTTTGTATTTTCGTATCACAACGAGTGAGTGTAAGAAATTACTTATAATAAGTGTTTAAAATTTTTGATTTCGGTTCTGGAGAACCACTCCTCCAACGTCGGCATCAATGCATAATCAGAAATTATATATAACTATGGCACACATGCAGTTACAAAGCGCATTTTTTTCTGAATTTTCTAAACATTGCTTTCTAAGAAAAAAAATCGTTTTATACATCAATTTAATGAAAAATGAAAATTTTATTCAGCATTTTTTTTAAATATTTTGGTTTTGAGAACATTTATTTGTCAGGTTTACTAAATTTTTATGATTTGAAGGATTTTTTGCTAATTTTATTCGTTCTTAGTAAGTTCATAGCAGTTAATTTTTTACTCATTTTTTATTTATTGGTTTTTGGGACCCACCTTTTTTTTGTTTATTGCTAAGCAGATAATTATTATAGACATTTTAAAATGTATCTAAAACAAAAATCGAAATTGAAAGCAAGGTTTTTCATAGTCCTAACGCTATTCAAACGTTTGTAGAAAGTGTGCTGCAGATTTTAGGCAACTTTAAGTAGGTAGGTACGAAAAATAATTTGTCATAATATTATTTACTTAGTCCAAAGACATTTATAAAAAATTTAAATTTATGCTCAGCTATTTATATAGGTACCGTATTCTATACACACCGTTCAACCGTAGGTATTGACTATTAAGTTATATCTATTATTTCAATTTATTTATTAAATATTATACTCAGTTGATAAAATGTTCATAATGTTTTTGTATACACTGATGATAATATTTTGAAGCAGAATACCAGAATAGCTAACCTGTACAGTATTTAGTATAAATGAAAATGGCTACTTGTGATCAATGAAAAAATATGTTTAACGATAATATTCTAAAACACTTATGCTTACAAACACGTACAGAGTGAAGAATGAGGGAAAGTAAAATTATCATAAGTCATTTAAAAATAATTATAATTTATAATATTGTAAAAACTTGTAAGAAAACCAGTAAATAATTGGAGCATTTGTTATTATTCCATATTATTATTTGAGGACAAAAAAAATATGTATAGAGTTGTAAAAACTTACCCACATTAAACACACTATTCAGAATATAAAATTATATACATGTTGTGTCAATTTTCAAAGAGCAAATAAAAATGTTCAGATGTCTAAAAGTAGGTCAAAATGTTATCACGTTTAAAATCCTGCTATAGACGATATTCTTCAATTTGTTTTTTTATTTTGTACATATTATACTTATGAAAGTGTCCGCTTAGTTAATGTCTGTCCTCTGTAGTAAGGAGATAGGGACCTACATTGGATATTAACCTTTGCCTATACATGGTATAATTTTAAAACTATTTTGACACGTTTTGAACTGTTTATACAGACATTTTAAATTTAAATTCTGAGTGGAGCGATGAATGTATTGATTTTACAATGATGTGTGTTTTAATATTTATTTATTACTTTTTTTTTGTGTCTGTCATCACGGTTTCTTGCAGTAAAAGTGCTTCGATTTTCTTAAATAGCAGCTTTTCTGGTAGGAAAGTGAATCTAGTTAGTGTATTCGGGAGGTCAACATTAAAAAAAAATTTTTACCGGAAAGTTAAACTACACTTTTATGAGTGTTTGAAGTTAAAATTTTTACAACATTGGATATTCACTCGATTTCTCTTGTAGCGATTTTCTTATTTTGTTGTAATTCAAATGTATTTAAATTTTAAATTGCTCAAAAATATTCAAAATATTAATAGGTATGGAAATAAAATTATACTATGTAATAATTCATCTTATAATATAAACAATTAATCTGTATTGTTCACTAAAAACTAGGCGGGCGAGACCAATGAGGAAATTAAATTTTTTAAGCTTTTGTTTGTTTTTTTATGAGTCTAAAGCACTATAATAAATACAACGTGCATGTCTGCATAACTTTATTAATCTATTTTATTCTACAAATAAAATACTAAATTTGCAGGAATTCTTTTTTCTGAACTTGTTCCAAATTTGTTCTTACCTATAATATCAAGAAATTTGTATACCTACATACCTCTCTACAATGTACTCTTATAATTCTTGTGCAGAACATTCGATTATAATTAAATCAGTTAAATCTTTAGCCAATTAGCCTATAAAATACCCTGGTGTATGTTTATTATGTACATTTTATTTACAGTTGTTTCATATTATTTGACTATATTATTTTTCGTTTATAATGTTGGTACCTAATAAGTAATAAGTTTCACAAATGCAGCCTACTGAGTACTGGTGAATATTTTTGCAATAAGAAAAAGTATTGATTGTATGTATACATCGATGCTTACACATACGTTTTACATAGGTAGTAAGTTTTATTAAAATAAAATGGCAAATAAATAGTATCGATTTTAATATCGACTTTTTTTTATATATAATCAGACATACATATTAGAACTTTTAGCGGTTGGTGAACGCAATATACCTGGTGTGACCTCAGTATATCTTAGGTTAGGTATTATAATCTATCTAACATTATATAGTACCATTCACTCCACTCCGTGTTTACTCAGTGATTTTATTCTCATTTTCTAATATTTTTTTTATATAAAATTTTATTATTTTATTTAAACGTTAGTACATTGAAAATTTTAAATATGTTTAGCTGAACACAATGTAGGTCCACATATTTTACGACATAAAGTCTGAGTAAATTTAATGACTACTTTTTTACTGTGATATGCTTACAACAACGTTACGCATACTACAAATTATATACATTGTATGTTTTTTAAAAGAATTATATGTTTAATATTTAATTTATTCATTTAATTTATTTAAGAAGTCTAATACACTACCATGGTGTTACAGCGGAATCAAGTTCGTATTGTACAGCAAAATATGTACGTCCCAGGAGTACTACCCAGCCCACCAAACACGTTTAATGCAATAATATTATATATATCAAAATGTATTATTCATTAATTATTTATTTTATTATTTTATTTTTACCCATTTCTACTCTTACTGTATGTCACATTCTTCAGGAAATGATTTAGTTGACTAAAATAATTGAATGAGCAAAACGATTGTCTACTTAAAAAAAGAACTTGTATTTTATTATTTTGATTTTCAATCATAATTTTTTACATAGAAATAATTATTTAAAAAAATTGTATTATAATCTTATATTATAATAAACTCAATGTCGATTCAGAATGTTCAGCGAGATATTCACCAGCAACGAACATCACATCTGTTCTAGTTGCATGATTCTGTTTTTAGATTCGGTGTTGCAATCCATTAAAAGAGCCATTTGTCGTAGCCAATATCTTTTTTCGTTGTTGCAACCGTACTGGTGTTTAACTGGTCTGAACCACTCTTCCTATCTCCATCAATAATACTGAATGGAGCATTCCGTTTATCCCTTTTTAAACAAATGAAAAATAATACTATTTAGATAAATTATCTAAGAGCCAAGGTAATTATTATTTTTTTTCTTAAAATAAATAATAAATGTAAAATGATATAAATGTAATATTATTAAGTTATTATGTTATTATTCAACCGCATCTTGAATTACGATACCAATTACTTTAATGTATACATTTTCAGCCACCATCTCCATCACTCATTAGTCATTAGTTATTTTAAACAAGGCTTGGCATTAAGGAGTTAAAATTTTAAGTGACTTTTAACTAAGTCTTATGACGAAATACTTTTAACTTAAGAGAACGACGCACTCGAACATGTGGTCTCCGTCTTAACAAGGTAATATTCTTGCCTAAAAGTTTGATGATTGGTCAATTTACTCTAATATTAAAACCAGCAGTCCTGAGTCCACTATTGTAAATAGTGAACGAAAATTTGGTATGTCAGACGGGTGTACAACACAGAAAACATAGTGGGTACAAAGGTCCTCTTAAAGAGGTAAAATATGTTTCATTCTACATAACATGCAATTCCTCATTAGTTAATAATTATTGTAATAATCTAAATCTCATAGATGTAAAGTATATTTTGTTATGAAATTGGTAATTATTATTTTTAAATTTAAAAAAAATTATCTTTAATACTATGTATAGGTTATTTTATAATAATGCGTATTCTAAATACTAGATTGTCATCTGTTGAAATGTAGTACTCATAATTTTGGCCAAAATAAAAAGGTTCGATTTTGATTTAAACAGAAATGATTTTTATCTAATTAAATAATAATATTTTATTAGTAATGAGAGTCACTTGCTTGTCAATTGTCATAATATTCTCTTAAACATATAAATATATAATATTATGACTAGGTGTCACACAACACATGCTCCTGAAATTTTCTGAAGGACATGACAGAAGAAGCCAAGCCACTTTATAGTTTATACTTTAGCCTCTAAGTTATAACGATAATTGAACTATTTATATATAAAAACGGCAATGCATGTTATAACATTTTAGATTCTGACTGGAGTGTGAATGTATTGATTTTACAATGACGCATTTTTTTTTTCATATTATTTCAAAATATTTTTCTCATTTCGAACTATTTATAGGCATAAAAAATGTTCTTTTTTTAAATTTTTGTCGATTTGCATGTTCATCATTTTGACCAAACTAAAAAATACAAAATAATTTAAAAAAGAGGGATGTCTCTCTGCTGTACTCGGGTGTGTAGAAGGTCGCTCTAATGGATGGTATTACATTTGAATTCAATGAAATCAAATCAACAAAAAACAATTCTGAGCGGAGACGGTATGTCAGTTTAGGATATTTTATTATTTTATATTGTTATTACTTATTAATTATTATTAATATGGTAGCCTAAAATTTGAATTAAAATATTATTCTTAAATTATCAGTGATGCTTTAAAAATATTATTTATACCTATGTAAAATTGAACTGTTTTGGAACCGAATTACAACAAAATGATAAACGTTATTCTTTGTATTAATATGCAATTTTGTAAAAATTTGAACTTAAAATGTCTGTAAAAAATAACTGTATTTATATATTTTTTAGATTTCTTAGTTACGGAAAAAAATGCTTAAGTAGAAACTTGTTTTAAATTTTCAATCTTTAGCTATAATAATTGAACATTTTATAAATTTTTAACTACGAAATCATTTTAAATTTTCAACTTGATAAATATATTGTCAAAATTTGAACTATAAATACTTATAAAACAAAATCGGGCCTCTATATTTTTAATAGTTTTCAATTGCTATTGTAACAAGTTATCAAGAGTTTTGGATTACATTTTCATGCTTTTTTACCCCACCAAACAATTATATTGACATAAATAGAAAAAAAATGAAAATTGAAAATGTGCGTCAACAGATTAAAGCGAATCAAAATGTTTTGAACATTTTATAAAATATATAAAGAGGTGAAATAAATATGGTGTTAATTTTAAATGTCTACAGTAATTCGTTTTTGAATTACAAAAAAATAAGAAAATCGTTACAAGAGAAATCGCGTGAATATATAATGTTGTAAAAATATCAACTTCAAACGCTCATAAAAATTTAATTTGACTTTCCGGTAAAAAAATTTTTTTGATAAAGGTAAACAGACGTCTTATTAGGTATCTTGTATTAAACTTTTAAATCTTAGATATATAATTTCTAACTAAATATAATTTGCTAATTTTCGTGATTTTTACGAATTTTGCCTTTTCTAAGTTTAAATGCTCATAGAAATTTTTTATGGATTTACACGCAAATTTTTTTTTAATTTCCACTTACAAAAACTAACGAGGAATCTCGTATTATATTTACAAGCTTTTTGACTGAGAGAAAATTTTTAATCGACATTAGCTAAAAAAACAAATAATAGAAAGACAAAAATGTTATATGCCTAAAAATAGTTTAATACAAGTCAAAATATTTTGAAAAGTTTACGGTGTATTGAAAACGATAACAAAAATATTCAAAGAAAATATCATGTACCTAGAGTCATTTTGGAGTTAACTAAAAACCAAAATTGATTTTTTCGAAAACTGTTTTTGAGTTCTACCAGAAAAGTTGCCGTTGAAGATAATCGAAGCACTTTTACTGCGAGAAACCATGACGACAGACACAAAAAAAATAATAAATAAATACATTTAAAAACACACATCATTGTAAAATTAATACATTCATCGCTCCGCTCAGAATTTAAAATTGAATATTGAAAATGTCTTTAAATATCTCAAAACGAGCTATGAAAATTATGCTGTTCATAGAGTATACACATAATATTGTACAATAATTTGGATCAATAAATGGTTATCATTTTCTGTATTGTAAATCTACTATTGAATATTTTGCAATACCATATTTTGTTGCCGTGGGATTTAATTAAACCTACATTTTTGAATATCATTGAACAATATTGCAAGAGGAACATTCAACAAGATTTGATGATTTTTATAAGCATGACAAAAAAACAAAACTATTCTAGAATTCATTTCTAGTTGAAATAAATTATGTCAAGAACAATTTTCAAATGTAATTCATTTAACATTAAAAAAACGAGTATCTAAAAAATTATTTTCAGGGAGCAACTATTTTGCTGCATTTTTAAAGTTGTCTTCCAGTACATTACCAAGAAACCGACAATTTTCACAAAAACTTATAGGGGAGTTTGCAATTACATATATATGTGAGCAGCCGTCTTCAATTATGAAAAAAAGAAAAAACAATATTCACACATAAGTTATGAACGTTTGTAAGTTGTATTACGAGTCTCTACTAAGCTAATATAGAACAATTCACCGATAAGTTGCAGGCACAGAATTCTCATTATGATTTGTAATTTGACATTTTTCTTAAAAACAATTTTTTCTGTAAAATTTGTATTTTTTTAACATATATATTTTCTGATAAATAACTAAATATATAAAAGTAATGCAATAATTAGTATTATATCATAAGTATTATTTTTTATTTATGTGGCTATCGAAAAAAATTTTAAAAAATATGGCACATATGGTTAATACAAAAGTTGCAGACCACTGGGTCCTAACCTATCTTATAAGTTAATTTATCTATATAAAGGTCTGTCCTAACACTTCAAACATATTTCAAGATATTGATGCTTAGTCAACATTTGTACTAGGTTTGTACTCTACTGAAGATAAAAGAAAAAAATTTATTATTATATAACATTGTATTTTGTTTGGCATTTCAAATGTCTTTTTCATAAATATTATTACTAGGTAATTACCTAATTATTATAAACACAAATTCAAGGGGTCCATTTTAATATAGATTTCTAACACCTTAATAGGCAAGAAGGAACATGGACTTGTTTGCAAAAATCAATAAATTAACATTGTCAAAGTGCTCGAAATATATATAATGAATAAAAAATTGTAAGCATCCATAGATAGGTACAACGTTTCTCAAATTTGGGAGAGGGTATGATAATGCTTATATAGAGATTTGAGTTCCACGACTTCTTATAAAAACGACTAGCAATAGCACCACTATAATAATGAGCACAATTAAATAACCAACTCATAACATTAGGGCAGTTACTGCTAATATTTCTATACACCTAATTTACTACAAAAATATAACTACAATTCAGTAATAAATCGATAAGTAGAGAAACATTTTCACTACGAAACTAACCTTTTCGTCTTGCCTTGAGAAGATTCTGTAACCACGGCGATTTCAGAATCGTCGAGGCGATTGTGACCAAACAACCACCAGCCGATCGGACCCACGCCTCCATCTCCTCCTGGAGATCTTTTCGTCAACCTTAACATTATAAAAAATTTAATACCGTGTTCTGCAATCGTTTTATTAATATATTTAACATTAAATTTAACTTGTGGTAATCCAAAAATTGTATTACTGTGGTTTAGAATTATTGTTTGAGGTAGAATTTAGTTACAATAGTAAAAAGTTTGATTAAAATCTAGGAAGAGTATTATATTAAGTATGTCCTTTCAAGATTTTCAATGAACTTAATTTTACAAGTCAATAGGGGTGTACAACTATTTCGAGCACAATTCAATGACCTGATCATAAAATTAGTGCAGTAACTGTTAATATTTCTGTACACCTAATTTACTACAAAAATATAACTACAATTCAGTAATAAATCGATAAGTAGAGAAACATTTTCACTACGAAACTAACCTTTTCGGCTTGCCTTGAGAAGATTCTGTAACCACGGCGATTTCAGAATCGTCGAGGCGATTGTGACCAAACAACCACCAGCCGATCGGACCCACGCCTCCATCTCCTCCTGGAGATCTTTTCGTCAACCTTAACATTATAAAAAATTTAATACCGTGTTCTGCAATCGTTTTATTAATATATTTAACATTAAATTTAACTTGTGGTAATCCAAAAATTGTATTACTGTGGTTTAGAATTATTGTTTGAGGTAGAATTTAGTTACAATAGTAAAAAGTTTGATTAAAATCTAGGAAGAGTATTATATTAAGTATGTCCTTTCAAGATTTTCAATGAACTTAATTTTACAAGTCAATAGGGGTGTACAACTATTTCGAGCACAATTCAATGACCTGATCATAAAATTAGTGCAGTAACTGTTAATATTTCTGTACACCTAATTTACTACAAAAATATAACTACAATTCAGTAATAAATCGATAAGTAGAGAAACATTTTCACTACGAAACTAACCTTTATAATGCGTTTTATTGATTTCATAATTATATGTAATATGTACAATTTATTTTTCGGTAACTAAATGTCAAGACGGTGTTCTTAACTCAAACTTTTACGCAATGCCTAGCATTGACGAGTATTAAATAGTATTATAATTATAGTGATAAGTGACAATGCATAGTTGCTAAAAACTTACTTTCTGCCACTATCTTCAATAATTGACTCAGTAGTTGCTGCCTCGATCTCTGTTTTGTTGATGTTCACAAACTGGGACCCACCTACAAAGAACATACATACTTTGTAACAATACGTCTTGTTATGCATTTCATCGTTGTTTATTATTTATATTTTGAGCTGTGTTATCAAGTTGTAGCACACTTTGTACGGTCATATAGAAAAAAAGGAATCCGTGGACAGTTTGTACTTGTTTAGAATGTACTAAGTAATATATACATTAAAAAGTCAAATGTCCCTATGGCAAATATTTTCAAGTAATTTTGTATATTATGTTATTGTTTTATTTGTTATTCTTAAAGTGGTATATCCAAACCTATTCTATAAAATACCTATTTGGATTTCCCTTTGTTTTTTCGCTCATAGCGTGTTATTACTCTTTTCATTTCGGACAGCCCTCCATCATCAACGACAAAATTCAATAACTACAACGTCATAAAAGGGGTCAGGCTGGGCATGTCCATTGAGACTAACATTTTGTAATCATCGGTACAAACATGAGAAAAAAAACAAAACATCGTGAAGATAGATTATGTTCTGTTGTCAAACTCATACCGATTGAAAGCACGTGATTGATCTAAAATTTTGAGCTATTATATTTTATCTGGTTAAAAATATATCCCGGTTTATTTCTATGGTACAAACTATAAAATGTCCGCGATCAATTATTATCAATTTATTATTACCATACAAAGTGCCCGCTATTGATTTTCACTAATTTATATTAACTGTACAAAGTGTTTACAGTATTCAAATCAAACAATAAACAGTATTGAAAGTGTCCATTTACCATCTAATGTATATTCTATGCTCTGTCGCGAGCGAGGAGCTTTAGTGTTCACATTTTTGTTTGAAATTGTGGAAGAGTGTTTATTCAATATATGTATTTAAATATATTGTGTTAAGATAAAATAAGCAAAATTTAAAAAATTTGAACCAATAATTATTTATTTGATAATAAATTAGAGTTAAAAAAGAAAAAAGCCTACAGCTATGTAGAAACCGTAGTTGGAAAAATTATTCTCACATTATAGTTATCAACGTGACAGAATTGCCTATATTATTCTACTTACTTGAAATATGCGTTATTAGGTTATTGTGAAAAACTAAAAAAAGAAATAGTATTTTTGTTATTTCTTACAATTTTGAGAGGAAAGGGCTCATAGACGGACTTTTTGTTATACAAATTTTGCACACTGTTTAGCATCTGAACACGCAATTACTAAAATAAATATTATACTATTATAGGTACCATTAAAACAATTTTTATGTTATTTAGTGACAATCGAATTGAACACGCAATGTCGAGACCGTTTGGGTTAAATAAAATGTAGCCATGTAGGTAATGTCGTAATGACAAAATTCGAAATAATTATTAAGCATCATCGAATTATGTCACTTAAATACAATATGTTACATTAATTCCTTATACATACTTAGGTGTTAAAAACTAAAATTTCTTATGAATTGCAAAATGATCAAAATCGTTAAAAAGTATTCGAGTATATTTTATAAGATTATTTCTTACTACTATTTCAAATTTTTGAACGAGTATAGGTAAATCACTAAAAAAAAGGAGTAATTTAGAGGAAAAATGTCATAAGCTTTCTCAAAACTAAGAATTGAGGTGTGATAAATTAATTTAATTTAGAACTCTATCCCTTGAAGTACGTAATTACAACTAGTATTTCAATTCATCAAACCGAATTAAAAAAAGCGATCAATTATCCATAATACATTATACAAAACAATATTTTAGAATTAACTACTACAAATAGTTATTGCGGATTATTAAAGTAGGTATTATTTTGTATTATAACCATTATTATTAATATTTATTAAAATAATATGTGTAACATTTAACAAAATACATTGTAATAGGTCAAAACTATAATAATTAATAAATTAAAATCGAACAAACTAAAATTCATAAATCAGTGTAAAGTAAAACTTGAAGTAAAGAATAATATTTCTTATAACCCAACAAATATAATATCAAGGTTGGAAAAAAACTTTTCTTAAATATTAACTGTTTAATAAATTAGATGAATAATACTTAAAAGAAATTAAATGAAAAATATATCGAAATGAGAATATGACGTTTAATATAAGTACTTACCGCCTAGCAACTCCTTATTGGGTTGCGAGTTGGCTGTATTTCCGGAAAAAGCGATGATTATGATGATCGATATCATCACTGCTATTGTCGACTTCATGGTTTTGAAGGAAAAATTCAATCCAATAGAAATGACAAAGAAATGTAAGTCAAATAAATGATTATTGGAATAAAATCAAAATATTTGAAAGGACGAGATAAACTGGACAGCAAGACGAGTACACAGGTGAACTGGAAGAAGTCAAAAAACCGAACAACACTAATAATGAGACTCCTCTCGCGAGCTCTTTTATAGGTTGATACGGTGGTGGTGGTGGTGGTGACGGCGGTGGTGGTGTTGTTGGTAGTGAGGGCAGTAGTAGTGGTTCGACTCGTCCTATGAACGAATCGGCGGCACGTTTGCACACCAAGCAATTTAATAGTGTTTGGCATAATGGACTCCCACATTTCTGAGGAGAATTTAAAAAAAAGTATACAAGATATAGAAAAAAACATTTCATTTTTAAAAACCAAATTATACAAGGTTTTTTTAAAAATTATATCGTTCAAATGGTTGTTCTTTTTCCTAAGGTCGGGGATTTTTATTTCGATTACCAACATACGCATACACATAAACATACAAACATACCCAAATGGCCAAATAGTAATGAAAGGAAAGAATACGTCTAAATGGAATAACAAATCTTATTTTATCTAAAATGTAAACCTATACATATAATTATTGTTATCTGACAATAATATAATTACTTACCTAGTTTTTAATCACTTTAGTTAGTGCTATGTTATCTGAGAGGTCGTAAAGTGTGAAATTCTCTAAATGCCATTTTTTTGGACATCTGTTGAGTAACACAGGGGGCAAATTAGTAGTTTTATACTTAACAATCATTTTTAAGAAGACTATATTATATCAGCTATTGAAAAATGTGTATAATGACAAAAACATATCTTAGAAATTGAGAGTGCCACGGTTGACGGTAGTCGTTTCAATGTTGATGTATACACTGTTTCAAAAGATAATATACCAGATTTACATAAGAAAACTGGTTTTGCCCGTGGCCGCCTGGTATGTTCTCTTTTGAAACAGGGAATAGTAATGTATTAATGTTTTCGTTGGCTTTGGGTTCATATTATCATTGATTATAAATACAATATATCGCTCACTGCCTGTGTAACAATATTGCGAGGAAATTATTTCCGATATAGCGCGTTAAGGTATTTTGTCTACAATAAAATTAAATATTATTCCTAAATCCTAATCGCCTACTGCATCGTCGTTGACGGCTGTCGTCGCGTGACATGTCGTAACCTGCAAATCCACGAAACGCTCTATTGCTTTCAAAAATGCTCGCCGGAGACTCACGCACAACACATAAGAAATAAAAAAAAAATTTCCTCTTTTACCAAGCCCAGATATACCCCAAGTGCCGCCATAAACCTCAACAAAATTATTATTGGAGCAATTCTACTATCATTTCGTCCCCTTATAGTTTCCTGTTGATTGCAGAAAAATGTAACTAAAAAAAAAGCCAATATAGGTACATATGTTATTACATGTACAATTTATAACATTGGAGTATTGGACAGTATAAACCAGGGATGGGCTACTGAAAGTTATCAGGGGGCCTCCAATTTTTAGAAAATTAAAATTTAGCGGGCCAGAGTATAGAGAGCAAAAAAAGGTCTTTCAAAATATGCATTTTAATAAAAAAGGTTCGCGGGCCGTCAGTTGCCCACCCCTGGTATAAACTAACGATTTTCGCTGAGTTAAGATCCTTGAAATTTTGTTACGTGGTTACTCTCATAAGTTGTTATAATAATAGATAAAAAAAATGTTAAAGAAGATACATTTGCTTCGGCAAAAATTAATTCAACCTACTGTATTACAAGGGAAATAACTTTTATAGCAATAATATTATCATAAAATACACTTATTATAGTAATGGAGGCTGCCTTCGCTCAGAATCGTTTTTCGTATACCTAATTATAATTTTATATCGTCGAATTCAAATTTCACACATCCATCACAGTGACCCATATGACACTTAATGAACAGTTTAAAAAACGTATGTTCGTGTGCCGGAGGTTAGTTTTTTACTCGCAAGTCATCAGTCATTACTAGAGCGCGGATTTTTAAGCACTAAAAAGTATCGAAATATTCTATAATAGAATAATATAATTGGTATATGCAGTAAAAATCATGAAAATATGCATCAAATACCTATGCAAGAAGTTCTTTTTTATTTATTTAAAATTAACAAATTTTAATATTTTGAGAACAAAATATTTTTAATATTTCTATTTGACAAAATATTTATTTATACATTTTTTTTTTAATTTTCAGTTAAATGTCCAAGTACATTTCGGATCTCGTAAAAATATGTAAAAATATGAAATTGCATAGAAATCCGCGGTCTGCTCTCTAGTTATTATACTAATTACTCAGTCAAGTCAGTCATTATAGTCATTAGTCATTAGTCAATCACTTATTAGGTCTTAGGCAGACGTCGAAGAAATGTTAATTTGCCGCCGCAGCAGCACGACGCGACAGTAGCGATCTTAACGTCGACGTCTAGAATCACTTCTTGACTGAAGCGCTCTACAACGGCAACGTCCAATTTCTACGCGGTATTTTTATACAGGCAGTAAGCGATCTATTGTATTTATAATCAATGATATTATTTTCGAGTATAAATTTTAAATCACAGACACTTTTTCTACGGACCATTACAATATTATTTAGGTGGAATATTTTGTCCATCAGTGATTTGCTGCAATGCTTAGGAGTTTTACTACATGCCTAAGACTGCGTTGTGGCTTTTAAATTTATTTTTACATGGAATCGTATTTAGTGGTAGAATATTTTTCTTTCTGTATTGAAAGGAAAATACATAGCCATTAGCTACTATGTAGAGTTATTTTGGCGCGTATTCAATATCCAAAAGTACCTACCGGCTATACTCCCTGCATTCCACGGCTCTTGCAAGGCACATGTTAAAAGACGTGGCGACTTGGCGGCGTCGGTCGTTTATTGTCCATTGACTGTGGGTACGGTTGCTTCCACTTAAATAAAATGTAGCCAGAATATAATATTGTTGCGTCTTTTCTATTACAGACCCAAATACAATATTTTATAGTAGGTCTATGTCCAAACATAATTTTGATTATTATATGATTATTATATGTTTCCTGACCTGGCCAATACCCGCTGTGGCACTAAACCGTATTGTCGAGGTTAAAAATGGTTATTGTGTGCACCAGTATGAAAGCCATTATAAAATATAAGGGTAGATAAATATATAATAATAACATCGACTCTACAATATGGATAATACAAAAAGAGCAGGAAAGCAGGACAAAGAAGAAAAAATATCTGCTGATAAACTCACACACGACGTCGACCAGGTCATCTATTCTGCCAACTATCGTTTCTGCCAAAACAAAAAAGATTCGATTTTCATTTCCGCCAAATTCTATTTCTATCTATAAGACAAATTCAATTTTCATCAACTTAATTTTAATCTAAAAATTAAGTCAAACAATTTTCCGTGGTCAATCAGTACCGCCCCCTCGTGGTAGCTCCTATGTAACTCTAAATAGTTCTCAAACTATAATATTTAGACAGGTAGGTAGAACAATATTTAGTGGAGATGAAAATCGAACCTTTTTCGTTTTGGCAGAAACGAAAATCGAGTTTTTTTGGCGGAAAAGACTGACGCCACGTCGCAAGTACCCAAATCTAAAAGGGTACTCCGAGTATCATTGTGTATTGTACAATATACTATTTATCAAGTTCATTTTAAATTAAAAATATCACCAACTTATTCATTCACTTGTATAGTCGTATAGAATGGTTATCGATGAACTAACATAATATGTTCGTTGTACGGCACTACAGTAAAATGTACCAGATAGACTGTCAGATGTATTCTTTTGAAACGAGTCTTTATTACTAGGTACTCGTTTCATTAATAAAAACATTATATACTATTATAATTGGTAATCGGTAAAAAAGACCAAGGAAAAAAAGAACACGGGAAAAAAGAACAAGTAAAAAAGAACACTGAAAAAAAGAACAAAGGAAAATAAGAACACGGAAAAAAGAACAATTTTTAAAAATTTTAAACAGTGTCCCGCTAATCAATATTCTTTAAAAAAAAAATTTTAATATAATGCATAGACACTTAAGCTATATTTTTGGTATTATTTATTATTATTATTATTATTATTATTATTTATTATAAAAAAAATACGAAACATAAATTTTTGATTTAGAACGTTCATCGAACTCGGAGACACCTCGAGCATAAATCTCGACTGGATTTGTACAGGATGTCATAGCCATTAATTTCATTTTTGATACTGCTTTCATAACATTTACTTCGGATTGATTCGCAGGATGATAGTGTTCTGTTGTAGTGTTGTCACGGTAGGATCAGTTTTCAAAATACTAGTCCTTAGTATTCCAGCACAATTTGTCGTATTTTTGGTCGAACATTTCCATATAAAATAGTTTTTACCTTTGTGCTTTGTGATATAAGTATATCCTTCAAAAGCTACTTTTTCACCTCCTTTATTAGATTAAAAAATTTCCATTTCAAATGTATTTAAAAAATTGAAGTATAAAAATTTAATGAAAACACTTGAACACTTCAATGACTGTCGATAGACTAAAATATGTTCACTCAAATTATAGCTCTAAAGTATGAAAAGTCTACATGGGAAATTTCCAGTAATAAAATATTGTTTTATATTTTACCACTAGTTATATTTTATGATAAAGTATGAAAAGATCACCTATAATCAACTATAAGGGTACTAGAATTACTTAGGGCATTTCCAGTAATAAAAATGTATCTTACTCTATATTATTATACTAAGCTTTATTGTATTTACGTTTCGTATTTTTTTTTATAATAAATAATACCAAAAATATAGCATAAGTGTCTATGCATTATATTAAAATTTTTGTTTTAAAAAATATTGATTAGTGGGACACTGTTTAAAATTTCTAAAAGTTGGTCTTTTTTTCCTAGATTCATTATTATTATATTATGTTATTCATACCGTTTTTCTGTAGGGTTAGATTTACGTATATACATGACGGAAATGAGAGCCACAACTTATGTATGTACCTGAGAAATATCGGAAGTATCAAAGTCTTATTAACATGTAATATACGAAACAGTGGCGTAGTGAAAAACTTGGTGGACTTAAGGTGACAGAGATCTCTTCAACACAGAAATGCAATGTAA